CTTTATAGGTTCTTTAATATTGGAAGAGGTGGAATCCATATTTTGGGCCATATTTATTTAATTGAAACTAATCCCAGCTACTTAAATATCAAATTACCTAATAAAACTAAAGTAATAATTCAAAACAATTCAAACATAACCTAAAATAAATGATCTCGCCGGCCGGCCCCGGTTGTCAAATACCCGCACATGCCCATTTAAGCAATCTTTAAACGTTATTTAGAAATAGCGCGATTTAGAATTGATCCGCAAATTACGTCAGGCCGTAACGTTATTACCGGGTGTTGCGTTAAAAATTGACTCGCGCATATCGTAACCATAAGGTAGGCGTAAATACTGCATGACGCTATTCGACGCTAGGTTTTCCGATATCTCTCTAATACATGTGCCGGTCAGGCGTTGTGCGCAATTTTAGAGGCCATAAGTGGGCGTGCTATGTGCGCAAACTAGTAACCTAACTAGTACCCGATTCCGAAAATTGGAACCACGAAAAACAATAAAGAAAAAACAAAGTTTATAATCTGTATAATCTGTGATGTTACTCCTTCTTTTCTGCATTACCTATGTAGGACATCCAGAGATCCTATATCTGTTACTCTTTAAAAAATTACACTATATAGTGGTCCTAATTAGGACTTTATCTTTTTAGGAAGTATGTATAAGAAAAATGCCAAAGTATTTATAGACGCTCTTCAGAAAATTAATGAGAGACAAACTCTTAAGCAAGCTAAAGAAATATTGCAAAAAATATCGTTCGACGGTCAAGAAAAAGTGTCATTACTCTTGAAGGACTATTGTCCCTGGTTGGCGAACTTCTCGGCAGCCCGAATGAATCTCGAACTGGAAATTCCGGGACAGTACACTGGTGACAAGATGCCATTAGTACAACATCACATAAAAATAGCCGGTTTTCGCGAGACAGTAAGCTAACATTTAGGGTGTATTCCGTTGCTTACCTTGGTTATGGTTTTATGTTCCGTTTCTATCGGTGTCCTGAAAGTTTTCTTATTACGGAACACAGTTCCTGAAAAATTCGGTTATAACTGTCACCAAACTAACCAGCGCCAGAAGGCTGGGTTTTCTGGTTTTGTTTGTCAATCAATGTCATTTATGTGACAGAAATCAAGCAAATATTGGAAGTTTGAGTGAAATTCTCATTTAATTTCTAAAATTTGTAATAATATTTTGTATTTACATCAAAAAGCAATGGAGGTAGGCAGTAAAGGTAAATAAATTTCATTAACTAAATAGAATGACTTTTTAGAACCATTTAAACTTCATGCAGCCATTGTTTCTTAAAAGTCCAGGAACATTTAAAGAAAACACGAACAACAAGACAACATGTAATGGTGAATGTTTTGTAAGCTATAAAAATATAAATATTGATTAGATTTGTTTATTTATTATTGGTCTATTTTAATATTGGACTTGCAAATCTTCACCTGAGCTGTCTAATGAGCTTAACAGTTTATTAATAAAGGACTTTTCAATATTAAACTTCATTGAAAAGAAGAAGCAAACGTAAAAGCAGACAACAGATACATTAAAAATGCATAAAAGATAAATTTTATAATAGAGGTATTGAAATTTAGAAAATGTCAAAATTTGACGTTTCCAGTATTTTACCAAACCGTTCCGTATCAAACCGATGTTTTTCAGGAACCGCTCTTTACCGTAGTTTACCGGTCTGGTTCGCCTGGTTTTGCAACGGAATACATTCTTATTAACAGCATGTTTAGATATCTGCTAACTTACAACACTAAATAGTCAGAATCAGCAATAACTGTCACTCTCAGGAAGTGACAGATTTGGACGTGAGCTCAAACAAAAATAAAATATACCGAGTTGCAGCTGCACTCACAATTGACTTATTTATGTTTAATCATATGTCATTTTTATTAGGTAGCAGTAATGAGCTCGAAAACCAAACCTATTAAGATTACAATGCTGGGGATGAACAGCAAAGAGTACCCGTTTTTAGTAAAAGCTGGCGAAGATATCAGACAAGATCAGCGAATAGAACAGTTATTTGTCTTAATGAACAATATTTTTGCTACCGCAAATAAGACTCATCAGCTATTACATACCAAGTAAGCAGTGCGTATATATGACGGTAGTTATTTATGTCAGTAATAACATATATAATAAGTAACGTCAATATTTGAGTGAAAAGTGGTGTCTGGGAGTTTTTTTGACATGAGAAATTTGATTTTGATGTCAATATAACTCCTACTGTGAAGGCGCCACCTCAATTTTTTAACTGATTTGAAGAGTAATAACTTTTTTTGTCCATACCTGTATAAAACTACTGAGTAAAAATATACATTTACGGCGTTTTCACACACTCTCTCTCGAAACTAAGGATTTTAGGACACATTTATACGAACTTTTTTGCCATTTTATCTGTGGAATATGCTACCGAAGTTTCCGAATTCCAGTTCGGACCACCTGAATAAACAACGGTCGCCATATACATAGATAGCCCGTCATATATAAAAACAGACACTTGACATATATAAACGGACAACCCTCATATATGACCTTTGAATAAAGAAGACTAAGATATGCTCCTTATCAAAAATCTTAGGTACACCGCGATGGGCCTCAAATATGGCCGACTTAAATTCCGGTTTATCAGTGTCGTTCTAATTTTATTTAAAAAATGTAAAACTATGATGTAGGGTAGACGTGGGGTAGACTCAATAATTCGTTGTTTTATTTTACGTTGTGAATAAATGTTGGTAGTTATTAAAATTGTTATAAAAATATATAATTGTAATAAAAATAGATAAGTTATAATAAGTATTTATTAACACAAACATCCGATACGCTACTGAAGCAGGTAAGTCAAATTAACATATCTAAATTCTTTGACATTAAATCTTTGACAAGTAATAAATAAAAGCTAAAATGCAAGAAAAATATATAATTTAGTTAATTTAAGTGAATTTCATAAATGATCGGTTTACTACACGTATGTATATTATACCTATAGTCACTTACTAGCGAAAAGTTGTTCCATTATTTCACTCAATTTTTGCCGAGATCTACCGCACGCTACACAACCAACTATTTTAGAGTCTTTTTCGATAAATCCCGATAGTGTCACTGTTAATTTAAGTTCTGCCACAATTTCCATCTAGATTTACTACCTTTATACAACTATCAGTAGTAGAATAAATAATAAATAACATAAAATAAGCTCCGTAAAGACTGACAAATCCACAAAATTTCAAATCAAATTCAAATGTGTCAAATGAATCGTCAAACAGAACTGTGAAGGATCCCCACCCTAGAGAGCTTTTATGGTGGCTTTTCCGCCCACCATGCATGAATACATGGATAGCATTATGCTCCTTCCTTAGTCTTCTTATTCAAAGTATATGACGGTTGTCCATTTTTATATGACCGGTGTTTGTTTATATATGATTCATTATGCATTTTGTATATAAATCTTCTTATACAAGGTGTCTTAAAGTCTTAACCATCTAAGATTCGCTGATGAAAACCTTTTTAAAAAGTTTTTATATCATTGTGGCTACTTTTCTAGTTTTCTACATTGTTTGCTATTATGTCTTAATATTTTTTGTACATTATTGGTAGGTATCTATTTGTTAGGATACTTTGGTTTTTACAGGTAATACCATTGACCTCAAGTTTGGGCATAATCCAGTGGGTGGAGAACATAATTTCTATAGAGGGTTTCATAAAAAAATCGCTAAACAATAAAAAACGGACGGATAGTTGGAAGACTAACGCCAATTCCTATGTGCAGTTTTTTGAGAGGAAACCAAGCGACATTGACGTGTATGGTGCCACGGCCTTAAAACGGACCAAAGACGACGTAGTTAAGTTTTACCAACGAATGGTTAATCAGATTCCCTTGGATATTTTAAGGTACGTATAGTTTGTTTTCCTCCATATTATACTCATTATAATTGGAAGGATTGTATCCTAATTACTTTTCACAAGTAGTAAATAAATGCAACAATACAAGAATAGTAACGTACTTAGTATAAACGACTTTCATAATTGGTTGCTTTACTACTGGAAACATATACCGTGCTGGCAACTGTAACTCTTGGGTCGGTATTTACATGTGTGGAAGTAAATCGCATAGGGATCTTACTAAGTCGGAGTGAGAGAAATTCGACGGAGTGCTATTGCGGCATTGTCGGTACGCCTTTCCCAATCGAGGAAAGTAAAATCACGATCGCAAACCGCTTATTTTTGAAATACTTTTTTTTCGAGAAGATAACTAGATAAAATCATTAGAAATGTTTCGGAGCATCTGAAATGGAATTATAAGGATATCTTTAAGGTGTCATTTTTTTATAACGAGAAAACGTCAAACTTTTTAACACATAACACGCCATAACTGAAGAAACACTTTCGATATTAAAACGTTTTTTTTTTATTTTGAAGATAGGATCTTTTATTCTACAATATGTTTACATAAGAAAAAATCGATAAGGTTGTTTTTTCCTTTCAAAAATTGTAAGCAACCCGTCTATTTACTTTTAGAGCATAGCAATTTTCAGCAGTTCTGTAATTTTTTTATTGATTAAGATTTTCACTTACTGTCTACGAAGAAAATACAGCAGAAATATTAAGAAAGTTTTTGAAAAAACTACAATTAATTATTTCTAATAGATTTCGAGATCTCGATTTTTGAATTCAGAGTTCTAATAGCCCGACCACTGTCGAAAACCAACTCAATTCCACTTATTTTTACCAAAAATGCAAATATGTATTTCT